GTCAATATTATTCTTAATCATCTTTCGCACCTCATTATTTATCTACCCATGTTTTTCCCAACATAATAGTAGATATAAAATACATATACAGTTTAACTTATTTAAAACCTGTACCAAACATTACATCCAACACAAATCTCAAATAAACGAACAACTTATTAACACATACACGTATTTTATAGTCAATTCTTCGTATTCAACACTCATCTCAGATAAACAAACAACTTATTAACACATAGCACGTATTTCATAGCAAATACTTAATATTTATGTGTTAGAAGAAAGTAACTATACACCCACTTGATCAGAAGATGATCAGATAGTGCTACGGCTTGTAGAAGTAGTATTATTCAGTGAAACCGGGTTATCTTCACAAAAACCGGGCTTCTCGCGGGCAGAGCTTCGGCTCGGGAATCTCACTTTTCGGGATCTTCGAGGGCTCGGGACTCGCTTCGAGTCTCGGGAATGATGACGGGGCTTCGGGGTATTTTTGCACGCAAAACGAGGTAAAAACGCGAGAGAAAGGGAAGAATGGAGCACCAAAATTCAGCAGCCCTCAACATTTATAGGGTGCTGGAATAAGGATTACGTTAGGCGTAACCTGGAAAAGGTCGTTGACTCCCCCCACCCCCCCCCCTCTCTGGATAATATCGAAATTTATAATTAAATTTAATATTTTAATTATTTAATAAACTTCAAAAATTCATATCTTCCTCATACGAACTCCGTTTTTGAAGTTCTTTATCTCCATGCGTAGGCGAGACTACGCTCTACAACTTTCGTTTAGACTCTGTTGGCTAATTTTGATTTTATTTTAATTATTTATTTTTAGTAGGTCGGGACAAGAAAATCCCGTTATAAATTCATAACTTCTTCATCCGACGTCCGTTTTCGTCTTCGATTCTCGTTTAGATTGCTTCGGCTAAAAACCACTTGATCTTAAATCGAGTATTCAGGCTGCATATCGCTAAGTCGAAACTTAGAAAAATCATAACTTCCTCATACGAAGTCAGATTTGGACGTTCTTTTTATGCACGCTCATGGTTTAATGAATTGTACGAGTTTAGTTTAGATCACTAAGGCTAAATATCGCTCTAACGTAAATTCACTTTTTACGTCATTCAGCGTTGTGTCGGTTCTGTCGCGAAACTTCGACATGTCATAACTTCTTCGTTATAACTCGGATTTCGGCGTTCTTTATATGTACAGAATCCTTGTAACATATACTATAACTTAGTTAAGATTATTCATTCTAAATAATCTTTCATCAGAAATTCATTTTTGACGTTTATCGTCTCTAAATTGACTAGCCCTAATTTACGGGCGTTACAATTGACTCTTTGGTAAGCATCATCATCTTTAAACCTATTGTCGACATTGTGGAATTAGGGTTTATCATACAATTGAGATACTGTTGATTTTAAGGTTTACTGCTCTTAATTAAGTTGATAGTGGAACGAGCTTGTTGTGTGTGTGACTAGATATTTCGTTGGCATGTATGTTTGTAGGTGGATATGGCACCTGAGAAGTGTATATACTTCAAGTAGATCGACGATGACCTGACACCACACTACAAGAATGCATTTAACAATATCAAGTATGAGTTGCAACTAATAAAAGACACCAATTACGCTACATGACTAGAGATAAGGGTAGCTTTGCTGAAGAACCTGAATGTTGAAGCCACTGCTGCTAAAGAAATTATTACTGGTGAGTTAGCCATGGTCGTTGAAGAAAACAAACAATTGAGGGGTGAGTTGAAGTTCGTGAGGATGAAGCTCAAGATTACTATGATGTTTCTTGTGCTTCTTGTTTTTGTGTTGATGATGTAGAAGGCAAATATGGTGGGATAGAAATGCTTAGGGCTAAGGGGTTGGGGGTATTTTATGGTTTTTGGTGGTATAGATGATCTCCCTTTTTGTAAACTTGGGGTTGGGGATATGAAGATCTTCTGTCGTTTTTGGTGGGTAGGATATAGGTTAGTATTTGTATGGATGTAAATGTCTTTGTCTGGTAAATGCCCCTGTAATTTAAGCTACTTTTGTATGCACCATGTACTTTTATATCTAATGGAAACATGCATCTTTTTGTTACTATACTTTTGTTCCACTGAATGGTCTTGTTAAGTGCAATTGAATACTGATAGGAATTGGTTATTGTGGACCAAAATAATTGAATATAATGCATATCACATGGCTACAACAGACAAGTGAAAGTGATTGAGTTTGGGAGGAGTGTATATTTGTGGACCAATACAAGTAAAAGGCATTAGGTATTATATTCAAATGAGGACCACACATATAAAAGGGAACATTACATGGGATCCACATCCGGATTGAAAGTGATTAAGTTTTGGGAGGAGGTACATTTGTGGACCAACATAAGAATTGAACACTGATAAAATAGTACCATCACATGTGATATTAGATCAATAAGTCATCAAGACAGATTATGTACCATCCTCAAATTTCAAGACTAAAAATTTCATTTTAAATATGTTACTTATAGAACAGTTTACTGAAAAAACTCATTGATATCATAACATCCCATATTCCCATAAATCAAATGTCATAAAACATGTTGTAGAATAATAATAGTGTCAGAGTACAATCCCAAGAACATCATAGTGTGGAAATCATGTGTGTGCGATGCGTTTCTACCGTGCCGGCTCCTTCCCCTTCGTTAAAGAGGTACCTGAAACAATACTAAAAACTATAAGCACAAAGCTTAGTAAGTTCCCCCATCATACCACATACCCTACACAACACATACTGTCAGGCATATCTGGGTGCCCAACCTACCCTGTTGAGCATACCGGGGTGCTTAACCTACCCTTACCAGGCATACCGGGGTGCCTAACCTATCCATGTCAGACATACCAGGGTGTCCGACCTATCTCTCCGGTTTATCTCAACCAATTACGGGGAATATTTCACCCTACTACTACCACATAAAAACATAACATAATCATGTTGTCAGGCATATTGGGGTGCCTAACCTACTCCCTGGCCCTATCGGCTGGATATCGAGACTATTCCCCCTCTTACCACTATCACAAAACATCATATCAGACTAGCACATAAACATAACAGACAGTAGCAAACCAGAATATTATCACTAAGACAATCATCTTGACTATAATTAACTACTAGTGGGCCGCCATTAGTGCCTTCGACCTACTTCTACTGGAAGGTAACTCACCTTAGTGTCGTGAAGTGTCTGAATTGTCCATGCTGTCGGGATCAACTCTTCCGAATTCCTACACGTAACAATCCTCTTTAATTACTATTTCATGGCCAACTCGGGTCAAAGTCAAAGTTAAGGTTGACACCTTAGTCAAAGTCAACATCTGGTTGACCTAACTTGCCGAGTTGACCCCACAACTCGTTGAGTTCCATAATCCTGAGAATGCTAAAACTTCGAACCTACTCGCCGAGTTCTCCTTTAAACAAAATCGTGACCTTCTACAACTGACTCGCCGAGTTCATCTTCATCCGGGTTAAAGTGTTTAGTCCTTGAGTCGTCGAGTTCTTCTTGAACTCATCGAGTTCGTCTTCATATGGTTAGGACATTGTCTTGAACTAGCCGAGTTCATCCTTGAACTCGTCGAGTTCTTCGATATTCAAACCTCTATTCCAGTCTATCATGTTGAGTCCTCTCATAGACTCAACCAGATCGATCATAAGCCAAAAAAAAGGTTGGGGAACCATACCCCGACTCACGGAGTCCCATGGATGACTCGTCGAGTCCCCCAAAGTCCATGTCCATATAATTGATTTTAGTTGAGCTCGATACATCCATATCATAGATCTGACCTCCTAGGGTCCATATTACACATAAAGTTACAAACTTAACGTTCATGCATGGGGGTATTTGGCTCAAATGACCCTAAAGTGAGGTTATATGATGAATGAGACTCCCATGGACATAAAGTTGGCACCTTTATGCCATGGGAATCCTCAATGGTTCCAGATCTGAAGTTCTACGCCTTTAGAACCACAAAAACCTGAAGTTGGCTCTACTAAAGCTTAGAAAAGGTAGAATTTTAACCCTAACTAGAGATCTAAGAGATAGATGGTCAAGGTTGAAGCTTTTTACCTTTAATGAGTTGGTAATGAAGCAAAACCTTTGGATCTACTTGCTTCTTCTGGAACCCCCAAGCTTCCACTTCTTCTTCAAGCTTCAAACAACCAAAACACACAAAAATGGCTCAAGAACACTCCAAATGCTTTAGGGTTTCGAGTTAGGGCTTTTCTGGATTGTGAGAGATGATGGAGGCTGAATTGGGACAAGATAAGCCGTTTAAAAAGGGTGCAAACCCTAAATATTAGGGTTTCATCCAGGCATGCCTACTCACTGAGTCGGGCTCCCGACTCGTCGAGTAGGTTACTTAAAACCCACGTCTAATGTCTAGTCTAATCGACGAGTTGGGCCTCCAACTCGTCGAGTCCTAGTGTAAAACATGCAATTATTTAAATATAAAATACGTATCGGGAACCGGGTGCTACAAATTACATAGGATTCAAAAGACACAAATGTTGCATCCATGTGAAGTTATAAAAAAGGTCAAAAGACAAAAATGTTCCCCATGTAGCAACAACATAAACTAGTACACAACATAAAGGTTCAAAACACGACACATGTCTAAAGCGACAAATCCTAATATATATCCAATGCATTTGTTGTTGAGTTGCCTTCACCATTTTTCCCATACACTGCTTTTGCAAGTTTGGTTTTTAAAAATCTCTCAAAAGGCTTTCTTGTTCAACAACCAACCCTACACCCCTTGCTTTAACCTATATATAATAAAATTACCATATTACCCTTCCATTCAAAATACTAAAAACAGTATTAGGGGTATACTTGGAAAGTTTTAAATAAGAAAATTACCATATTACCCTTTCATTCAAAATACTTAAAACAATATTAGGGTATACTTGGAAAGTTTTAAATAAGAAAATTACCACATTACCCTTCCATACAAAATACTTGAAATAGTTTTAGGGGTATACTTGGAAAATTTCAAAATACCTTTTTTTTCGAACACCATGCACTCCACTACCTTCACCGCCATGCACACCACCTTCACCACCATGCACACTTCCTGCACCACTATTCATTGATCCATGCACACCTACTGCACCACCATTCATTGACGCTTCACCTACAGATTCCTGTAGAAGATAACATGTCAATAATTAAGAGTTACAATTTTTCTGACAACATCATTTGAGTATACTTGTGTAGTCTTGGTTATCTTTGATCTTTTCACTCTGAGCTTGACTGGCTTATTTGTTGTGAGTCGAGTTACCTTGTTGTGGCCAGGCATATGAAAAGCACTGCACACAATGGGTTTACCCTTCTTTGATACTTTATGCTTCCCCATTTTCTCTGTCACGTCTCTCTTCCTTTTTGTTGTAGGTATTCCAGACATCCTTATTCTTTGGGGAGGTAAGGGTGGGGTAAATGATGTATGTGGCCACATGTTACTACCATTCATAGGCAATATATTATTCAAGTATGTTTTATTGTAGTTTAATCTACAAAACATAGGATCCACATAGGTGTCCACATCCTTATTCATAAATAAGATTGTAGCAATTGAATTGGCACACCCATATCTATTTAGTTTCCATAACCTACAAGAACATATCATGCTGTCAAGATCCATATCATAAGCTTGACCATCATTTATTGTCTCAAATTTGTTTAGTCCACTTGGGAGCACTTGCAAGTACCTAGCTTTAATCTTTAAACCATTCAGTAACTGCCTTGTTATAGTACTTACATCCTTTGTCCGTTTTGTGTGTTTCAAGATAAACATCCTCTCCATGATATATAACCCTAACTCCTCCAACGTAGTGATCATTGGTTTCCTTTTGGCTTTCACGATTACTGCATTAAAGCTCTCAGAAAGACCATGCTCCACTGCAGCGTATGCCCTCCTTACCTCATAAAATGCTATTGACAAGGTCTTTGGTTCATTTTCCATCAAGTAGTTATGGGCTTCCGGACTTAATCTTTCATTTTTTTCATGAATACATTGAAAGATTGTGGTGTTGTTGCATTGTAAGCCTTCTAAAAAAGGTTATAAAAAATAGCCCCTGCAAACCTCATCTTAAAATCTGCAACAATGTGCCTTGCACATTGTCGATGCTCAACACAAGGAAGCACATCCTTAATTGCCTCCATAAGACCCTTGTGTTGGCCATACATTAAGGTGAACCCAATGCCCATACCTAGTTCAAGATCATCTCTCAGCAACTCCTAAAACCACATCAAGTTTTCCTTATTCTCAACACATACTATTGCCCATACAACTAAAAATATGTGGTTGTTAGCATCTCTACCCACAGTGCACAATAACTCCCTATTGCTATACCCATAAGGAAACATCCATCTATCCTTAACACTTTTCTACAACCTTCTAATAAACCAGATTTCACATTAGCAAAACATACATATAACTTACTGAAGTAATTCAAACCATCAAGCATGCATTGAACATCTATTTTGACCGTTGAACCTAGAATGTTTCTTCTAATTTATTCCCCATAAGACCATAATTTTGCATACCCTCAATAAGATTCATGGCATGTGCCTTTGCTCTTCTGCATTGACTTAAACTAATTTGTATTCCAAACTTCTAGATGACCTCCAATCTCAATTGTCTAATTGTTAACTTTTGTCTATGCAAAATTTCCTTAGTCTAATGTTCTCCCATCTAAGAGTATGTAACAATTGATCCTAGTTTGTAGTTTCTAGCACAATTATGTTTAATCTTCAAGGACTTGATTTGAAATGAGACCTCCTGCCTCATCCATGTAGCCCATAACATGAATGGGCGAGCTCATTTGTAACACACCACCACTAACCTTTTACTATCATTCCTCTTGAAGCATAGTTGGTATCCATTTGCCACAACATAGTTACATAACATGTTTTTTAGCTGCTGTGGACTTTCAAATTTCATCCCAATAACAGGTACTTGCCTTTTCCATTGCAAATCAGGGTTGAAAATGGAATGGATTTCAACATCTTCTTCTTCAACTTCATTGTCACCAGTATCACCTTCTGGAGGACATAACTTACTAAGAAACTCATCCCCACTCGTCTTGTTCAAAGGTATTTTGTCAATGTTAATTACTTCATCTTCAAGACCTACTTTGGGATGGGTTTCATCAAGGGTAGTGTTTCCTTCATTTCTAGGTACACCATCATCTTCAAGGCCACTTTCATTATCTTCACTAACAACCAGATTCATGTCATCATCCCACCATTCCTCCAACCCATTCCCATTATGATCAACATAAACATAATTTCCCCGTATTTATACCTGATATCTATAAATTGGGCAAAATCCAAATCATCTACAATGAGACGAATCCCTCTAGATAAAAGGGATGTTAGGTAAGCAGTAATAGACGTTTTGAAACTCTTCCCCAATAGCCCTATCAAGAAAATAAAAAAAGTCCCTTACATCCATACCTGCCCGATCAACATCAATGAAGAGGAACTAATTCCCACCAACATATCCAGAAGGATATCGAACAAATACACCATTGTATTGTAGATGAACTCTCAAATATATAGATTCGTTATCGTTCTCAGCCATGCAACAATGAAACAATCTTCAAAGAGTAGAATACCTTTGACAACAACACTGTAATCTCAATAGTGACTAAGATGGTTAAAAACCATAGTTCAAATCTTCATTACTCTTATTATAAAACGTATGACTATGGAAAATGAATAATTTTTTACCCGTTTGTACACTATGGAATAACATACTTGTCACAATTAATAATTGGCCATCAAAGTCAACGATCACGTCACCTATTTTACCGGCTAAATAAATTTGGAAATGAATAAGGGTATGATAGATAGCTAATTTTTGAGTTTAAGGGCCCATAAAGGCAAAAAAAGAAGAAGCAATATTGGTCTTTTAAAACCAAATGTAAAAGTTTGTTGGGTATCCGAGGCAAAAAACCAAACTTCTTACATGATAAATACAAGATAAATAATGTACTTCGAACCAGAAAACATCTAGTTCAACAATATCAGTTGATGTTTTATCTTCTTGAGATTGAATGTTCAAGACTTTTTAGAAACATATGTGGATTTAGAAGTAGTTTATAAGATGAGAAATTAAATTTCATTATACAAATGTCAAATGATAACATATGTCATATTTGATTTTTTTAATAATATTTTAATCCATTTGTTATCATAAGAAGATATTTAATTTTTTTTATAAGATTAAATTAGTTTGCGTTAAAAAAAATATATTTCGAATTGAATGAAAAATAAATGTTTGTAATATTCTTACAAGATAAATAATGTTTTTGGAATTAAATAAAATTAAATGTTTGTAAGAAGTTCTTACAAGATAAATAAATCGGAAAACCTACGGTACTATTTTGAAAAAAAAGAGGGGGTATATCTTATCAAAAAATTCAAAGGCAAAATATCTCACGAATTTAGGGAACCCACGCGCCCCTCCACCTTCTCTTTCCTCCAATGGCTTCTCGAATTTGACCTAGCTCATACATGCAAAAACTTCTATCTTTTTCAGAGACCATCTCAAATCAATCACAAATAGTTTTGTGTTCTTCTTCGTCATCATCCGTCAATCTTATCTGAACCCCTCTGCGGAAATCGGTTGTTTTTATTTCTGTTTAGGTTAATTTATCGAGGGCCAAGTGATTATGCTTAGGGTTTCAGCATAGATGATGGTAGATTCAGTAATTAGTAGGTTTTTGTTATTATTATGTATCAATTGTATGGATAGAGAATGCCGGAGGTGCGCAATGGAGTACGCCGTGCACGTGCTCCTGTAGTCGAGAAGAAGAAGAGAGAAGGTAGGCCCAATAAGCGATCGGAGCATTTGGTGGGTAATCACGTTAAGACTCGAGCGGCTGCAGCTAGGGAAGCGGCGGCGGTTGGTGTTGAGCCGAAGCAACAAAAGAAACCGCGGCTGCCGACTAAGAAGAAAAAAGAGGGTTTAGCAAAAAAGCCGGTGGTTGTCATTTCTGAAGCAGAGGAGGATAAAAAACGAACAGAGGAAACACGTGAAGAGACATTCAAAGTAGCAATGGCGGATGGAAGCGGTGGCTTGAGCGCTAACAAGGTTACAGGCCAGGAAGAAGAAGGGAATACCGCCCCTTTTCCTGAAAGGGTATGTTCTCTATTGTTCCTTCGATTTTTGTAATGCTTCTTTACTTATAAAACGCCTTGATTTTCAGGTTCAAGTAGGTGGATCACCTCAATATAAAGTCGAAAGAAAATTAGGGAAAGGTGGATTTGGTCAGGTATTTGTTGGTCGTCGTGTATCTGGTGGAACTGATCGCATATCAGGTCCTGGTGCTACAGAGGTAATCTTCTTGCATCAAGCAATCAAGCTTACATACAGAATCTGATTTCTGCAATTCATTTTCTTTAATTTTGTTGCGACTTATGACAGGTTGCTCTTAAGTTTGAGCATAGAAACAGCAAAGGCTGCAGTTATGGTCCTCCATACGAGTGGCAAGTTTACAAGTATGTGCACATTATGTTTTTGTGATTAGTAAACTAACATTGTTCTTTTTTGAATTTCAAGAAGTGAATTTGTTTTTATTTTTTGGTGAAACAGTACTCTGGGTGGGAGTCATGGAGTGCCTAAAGTTCATTATAAAGGAAAACAAGGAGATTACTATGTTATGGTATATGCTAATACTTAATAAGTTTTTAGTTTACTTAAATGATTAACTACATAACATTTCTTTTCACCATTTTAGGTCATGGACATGTTGGGGCCTAGTTTGTGGGATGTTTGGAATTCTTCTGGACAAACGTGAGTTCTCCATAAACCTATGGACACCAAATGATTCTTTCCTCTGCTTTTTGTTATCGTTTATTGCATTTTGATTTAACCCTTCAAAAATTGGTAACTTGTTTACTATTGTTGCATTTTGTTTTCCAGGATGTCATCAGAAATGGTGGCTTGTATAGCTGTGGAATCTTTATCAATTTTGGAAAAGATGCATTCAAGAGGGTATATATACATTCCACTATATAAGATGTTTTCCTTTTTTTTTTTTTTTTTTTTTTTTTTTTTTTTATATTCATTACAAGAGTTATCTTTATATTTTTAGTTATGTTCATGGAGATGTAAAGCCAGAGAATTTTTTACTCGGTCAACCATCAACAGCTCAAGAAAAGAAACTATTTCTTGTTGACTTAGGGCTAGGTAAGTCATTTCATCCAATTCCCTTGATAGATTTTCCACTGTATCTCATTTTCCATTAACACATTCATTGACATGAATCCATGATGATCTCTCTCAAATGCAGCAACAAAGTGGAGAGAGAGTACAAATGGTCAACACGTTGACTACGATCAAAGGCCTGACATGTTTAGGTGAAATCTCATTCTCCTAACTACTTCATTTGATCATTTCATATTATATTTTGCCTTTTCTTTTTTGTAAAAAATATTTTGATATGTTGTAACAGGGGAACAGTTAGATATGCTAGTGTGCATGCACATTTAGGAAGAACAGCAAGTAGAAGAGATGATTTAGAATCTCTTGCATATACACTTGTATTTCTACATCGTGGTAGACTTCCATGGCAAGGGTATCAGGTATACTTTACTTCTTTTCAAGAATAATATATTTACATTTCTTTTAACAATAATAATGACAAGATGTAACATAATCTGATACTAAAGAAAGTTTTGTATGTTTTTAGGGTGATAATAAATCATTTCTAGTTTGCAAGAAGAAAATGGCGACATCTCCAGAAATGTTATGTGTGTTTTGTCCAGCTCCTTTAAGGCAGTTTCTTGAGATAGTTGTGAACATGAAGTTTGATGAAGAGCCTAATTATTCAAAGTTAATATCTTTATTTGAGGGGCTTTTAGGTCCAAATCCTGCAATTAGGCCAATAAACACAGATGGTGCTCAAAAGGTGATTGCTTTTTGTGAAAAAACGCTTCTTTTGTAAATCTTGTTAAATGGGTATTTACTTTTCTATCTTTTTTTTTTTTTTTTTTTGATTTTTAAATTGTAGATTATAATCCAAGTTGGGCAAAAAAGAGGCAGATTGAATCTTGATGAAGAAGATGATGGGCAGCCTAAAAAGAAGGTCCGAATGGGTGTTCCTGCAACTCAATGGATTTCAGTTTATAATGCCAGACAACCAATGAAACAAAGGTATAATTTATAAATTATAATATATGTATTTATTTGGGTTTAACTTATAAAAAACCTTTATATTTTGTGTTTTTTCTGGATTAAACCTCAACTTTACTTTTTGCCTGAAAAACCTTTGATTTTTAAATTTTACCAAAAAAGCACAACTTTGTATTTTTTTTCGAAAAAAATCCTCAACCTTCTCTATGTGCTTCCAAATAAACCCTCAACTTTTTAGTTTTTCTTGAAAAAAGCCTCACATTTTACAAAAAAATATAGGGTTAATCTCATAAAAGACCTTATATTTTGTGTGTGTTTTTTTTTTTCTGGATTAAACCTCGAATTTATTTTTTGCTTGAAAAAGACATTGTATTTTTTCATTTTTGTCCCAATTTGGCCCTTTTATTCATCTTTTACAAAAAAAATTGTAAACTATGAGGGGGTTTTTTCGAGAAAAACTAAAAAAGTTGAGGGTTTATTTGGTAGCATATAGAAGGTTGAGGGTTTTTTTCGAAAAAAATTACAAAGCTGAAAGCTTTTTTGGAAAAAATGAAAAAAAATACAAGGTCTTTTCTAGGCAAAAAATAAATTTAAGGTTTAATCTGGAAAAAACACAAAATATAAGGTCTTTTATGAGATTAACCCTATATTTTTTCAGGGTAGGAAATAACAATGTACTTTTTTCCCAATAGAACCAATATATACTTATATTTATTTACCTAGTGTCCACATACTTAAAATTCTTTACTTATAATATCAATATGTTACATTTTAAGTATATAATTGTAAAAAATTCGTTATGTTTTTATTATTTAGGTATCATTACAATGTTGCTGATGCAAGATTAGCACAACATGTTGAGAGAGGAAATGCAGATGGATTACTTATAAGCTCTGTGGCTTCTTGTTCCAACTTGTGGGCCCTTATAATGGATGCTGGAACAGGGTTTTCAAGTCAAGTTTATGAGTTGTCTCCTTTTTTCTTACACAAGGTTAAACAAATAAATAAAAAAATGATGCACCTTTTTTTTTTTATTCTTTCGTGAAACTTTTTTTATTTATAGTGTTGTTGGGATTTGTTTATGTATTATAGGAATGGATTATGGAACAATGGGAGAAGAACTATTATATTAGCTCAATTGCAGGTGCTAATAACGGAAGCTCTCTTGTGGTCATGTCAAAAGGTTTGTAAACGAAGTGTTTGGTATGATGGAATCAAATTATCAAATTTCAAATTTAATTAATTATAAATTAATAATTAATAAAAATATGTAGGGACACAATACTCTCAACAATCCTACAAAGTGAGTGATTCCTTCCCTTTCAAATGGATAAACAAGAAATGGAGAGAAGGCTTCCATGTCACCTCCATGGCCACCGCTGGGACCCGCTGGGGTGTTGTCATGTCCCGCAATGCCGGATTTAGTGATCAGGTCAGATTATTAATATTAATTTTTTTTTTTATTCAATATAAAAAAAATGATATATTTAATTTAATATGTTTTGTAGGTGGTGGAGTTGGATTTTCTTTATCCAAGTGAAGGCATCCACAGGCGGTGGGACAACGGCTACCGTATCACTTCAACCGCCGCCACGTGGGACCAGGCGGCGTTGATCTTGAGCGTCCCCCGCCGTAAGCCCGGGGATGAAACACAGGAAACTTTAAGGACTTCTCAATTTCCAAGCACACATGTCAAGGTTAGTTTAGTTTCCATTATGAAAAATGACCGTTTTGCCCTTGGTGAATTTTAATTATTGTTGTGGTGGTGGTGGTTGCAGGAGAAGTGGGCGAAGAATTTGTATCTTGCTTGTGTATGTTATGGAAGAACCGTGTCTTGATATAATACTATGTTATATGATGAAGTGGAGGAAAAGCCATTTATTTGTCTTTTGTTATATATATATATATTTTTTATATTGTTAAAAAGAATGTGTTGTTTGTTGACTTGTTTTAATGTTAGGAGTTTGGATTTTGGGAAAGTAGACTAGAGTGACTGATGATGATGTGTGTCGTCATCTCATGTGTTGTAAAACGATTGTTATATTTAATTTTGAAGCTGTATAGTTGGCTGATTCCTCCCTTAACTAAACCTTTTCTTACTTATTTATTCTACAAATACTTCAATACTATATGTTTCATCATTTTCATATCTTTTTTACTTGATCGGGTAAAATCCCATAAGAATGTGTTCGGATGCAAGTAATCATTTTCATATTCGTTGGAGATAAGATGTCATTAAAGAATTAAATCGAGTCTTGAAGCAAGGATCATAAAATCGATTCGATTGAACTTCAATTCAAAACCTCTTGATGATTACATATCATATAGAACAAAATCAAAAACAAAAGGCATCGCATGCATCCTATATACAAGAAAAAGAAACTAGACAAACCCTACACAGATTAATTTCAATTTCCAAGTATCAAGCAGAGAAGAAACCATTAATAGTTGCAACCCCGATCTTCGATTTAGGCTCATGAACCAATTTATTCATACGAGGCCTCTTCTTCATCCGCCATAGTCCAGAACCCACAGTAGATGAAGGAAGCAGCTCCAGATCTTCATGATCACTCGACATCTTCTTCATCATCTTCTCGTATTCTTCCGCCATTAATATCGCTACATCCGTCATTCTCTCTCAATTAATTTTGGTGTGATTGATGTAAAAGTCTGGGTTTTATTATTTATAGGGGCGGGAGTAGTAGTTAAATGGGGGAATGGATATGGATGAGGATTCAGTTTTTCTGTGGATTTGTTTGCTGAGTGTTATTGTTGTGGTTTTGGAATCTCGCCCATAGTATTCTTAACTTAACTCTCCTTATTCAGTTGCAATTCTTGGGATGTTGACTTGTTGTCTTGATAGTGGACTAGTGGTCTCCTTTTCATCCAACTGATTTCCTATTTTTCCCCTAAGCCATTTTTATTGGTATTATTTGAGATTAATATTTTTTTAAATATATAGTTGTCTGTTTAATAAAAAAAATTTGAGATTAATATTAACGAGCTTTTTTTGGTGCAAATAACTAGAAAAAAAAATTCTAGTGGCTTCATTTTTTTTTGGCTGATGTGGAACATATTTATGCTTAAGAACCTGATGGACACTCCGTATTATAGCATAATATAATAGAGGCTTTAACGACATATTAACTAGTTAGTACGAGGGACGATCTCCATAACGAATCCAAACTTAAGGATGTAATTGTTAGATTTTTTTGAAATGACAGGGGCAATTTTTGAACAACCATTGGGATCATTTTTGTAATTTACTTTTTTAATAATAATAATAATAATAATAACTTAAAAAACAAAAGAACTACTTAAAGCTATAAACTATAATTTGCTTTTAATAATAAGAGTAAATTACTAAAATCGTCCCTATGGTTTTGTTAAAATTTCACGTTTGGTCCTTAACTTTTTCTTTGCACTTGGACCGTCCCTATGGTTTGGTCAAAATTGCATGTTTGGTCCTTAATTTTATGTATGTAAGGGATGAAAACTGCAACAAAATCAAACCATAGGGACGATTCGAGTGCAAAAGAAAAATTAAGGACCAAACGTGAAATTTTGACTAAACCATAGGGACGATACATTATTATTTTAATTTTTAGAACCGCCCGTAGTGAAATCTTCTGACGTATTTACTTGAAGTCATTTTTTTAAATCCTTCACAACATTCTAAAAATCACCATGTTTGAAAAATAATCTTCTCTTTTCGGTAAAGTTCTTGAGTTTTGGTTATAATGATTGCATCATTTTCACCGCTCGGCTATTGTTGCTTCATGTTGATAAACAAAACCATTAAACTTTTGTTGGTGTTCCTCCACTTCAAGTAGATTTGATGTTCTGTTCGATAGTTGTCTTTCTTCATTTGGGGAAGGAAATGTTTTCATACTTTCTTATAAAGAATCGTCCCACTTTGATCGTTGGTCTTCTGAAACGTCAAGTCATGATTATGTCAACGTCTTTTGTCTCTTCTATTCTTCCGGGTCCACAATATATTTAGGGCCTTTTTTTTTCCGATTACGTTGATCATCGGAATTGGCTGATGAATTGATTTAAGGTTGAGGTTGGGGTTAGATTGAGATTGGAATTGAATTTTTTGAATTGTCTCAAATGGATTAAAATCATATAATGATTAAGATGAAAATTGGTTTTGGTCCACATGGATTATAAAATAGACCATTTTGGCATAATGAAACATTGTTGGTGAATAGACTTGACGATCCAGTTGAGGTTGGTACCACCAAGATGATGAAGGGTTTGGAGAACAAGGGTTTGTAGTTTTTTTTTTCTTGTTTCTCCTAGTTTTTTAGTTGCTTGGAGAAGACATTTGAAGCTTGAGTATGGAGGGTTTGACAGAAATAATTGCAAATTTGAAGGTTGAAATGTTGTAGGAAGTGGATGTTGATGTTAGTATTTATATTGGTTCATAATAATTTTTTTTTATTAAAAATAGGTAGTTTTTTTTATTAGAAATGGATAAAAAAGTAATATTTTTTTTTTCTTTTATCTTTAAGTTGATGCTGTTGGGAGATGCCGGTCTTGACATGGTGAAAGTATGAGATGGTGTTTGCTTAAACCACCTTAATAATATCGATGCCACAACCCTACTCTTACAACCTAAGAAGATTTTTTTTTCACAAAATTGTAAGAATGGTTCTTGTGGTATGTCACAACTCACAATTTTGGTCCAAAAAGGTTTGGATTCGCATCAGTGATCCAAAAGTTTGATTTTGTTGCGAGTTTGGTTCAGTTTGTTTTGAATTTTTTTAAATGCCTTTTTTGCCATTTTTATTTTCTTTTTTCATTTTTTTATTATAGAAATAACAAAAAATGAATACCCACCTCTCTCTCTCTCTCTCTCTCTCTCTCTCTCTCTCTCTCTCTCTCTCTCTCTCTCTCTCTCTCTCTCTCTCTCTCTCTCTCTCTCTCTCTCATCCACATATATTCAAAACACTTTAACATTTAAAACATACACATATTCATATAAACACTCAAGAACACCATCGTTGGCTACATGTTTCTGCGTGAAAAATAAGAACGTCACTACCGACATTGCGACTCTCCTTTTCCGACGACAACATCTCTCTCTCCTTCTCCTTTCGCACTGTCGCCCTTCTAATTTCATAAAACCCTAGCGTCATCACCTTTCTCATCCGAAACTAGGGTTTTCATCTTCTGGATCCGATGAACATCAAGGGTGACAACTAGAAAACAAATGTTCAGACCTCGACGATGGTTAAGGGTGACAATCCTTCTTCTCCTACGTCAATGTAAGATCTAAGAAAGGGGGCTGACATCGTAGATTTGAGAAATGGGTGACGTATATCTGCTTCTTTTCCATTCCAGCTTCTTTTTGTTGTCAGGTCTGCTTTAGATATGTTCATCGATTGGTACATTTTTTGTCTGTTTGTTATCGGAGTTCAGACCACCCTTCTTTGTCTTCCTAGATTCGAAATAAAAACTTGCCAGAGAGAGAGAGAGAGAGAGAGAGCGAGCGAGAGAGGGGTTCTGGTTTGGTTAGGGTGTGTGTTCCTCAGATTTTGTGTATGTGTTTATCTAATTTCGTATGTGTGTTCATCATATTTCATGTGTGTGTGTGTTCATCTGATTTTGTGTGTGTATGTGTGTGTTCATCTGATCTGATTGTGTGTGTGTTCATCATATATGATTTTTATGTGTGTGTATTCACTAGATACGGGCGAACTAAAAAACAAACCCATATTTTGTGTATGGTTATTGTTTTTAGGATTATTTTTTGGCGGAGATGGAGGTAGCAGACGGTGGTGGTGGTGGAAGATGTTCTTAAGTGTTCTTGAATCTATGAATATGTTCTTCGGTGTTTATCAAACACAAACCCGAAGAGAGAGAGAGAGAGGTGAGTATTTTTTTCTTTTTCTTTTTTGATTTCTATAGTAAAAAATATTGAAAAAGGGAAAATAACAAAAGGACAAATATGTCTTTGTAAAAGAAATTTAAAATTTTAGACTAAACTCACAACACAATTAAGATCCTAATTGCCTTCCATGCAGATAAAAAGCTATAAAATTGATTCTAACCTATTACAACTACCTACTAAATGTAGAATATGAACTTAGTTGGATTATGCATACTAAAAGAAATCCTAATCGGTATCATTTAGTCAATATTATCAATACGAATTACTAACATTTTGAATAAAAAATACATGAATAAATATTGTAGTTTAGAGAAATTTTAGTGTTTCGTTTGCATCTTTCATCTTTCTTGGGTACTATTTTTGTGGTATTTTCTAGTTGCAGTTTTCGTCAGTGACAGATAAAAGGACACTATACTAAGTTTTTATTTTATTTTATTTTAAATTATGTTGATTTTGAGGTTTGAATTTCAAGTTTGGTTTCAATTTCATGTTTAAGGTTTGATTTTGGTTTAGTTTCATTATATTTTGTGTCAGTGGTGAGTGTTAGTGGTTGTTGGCGGTGAACAGGGTGTCGTTGATGGTTGCTTGAACAAAGAATGACGGAGTTAGTGTAAGCTTTGTGGGTCCAACAAAAAAACACAAAATAATATTTAGAAATGGCAATACGTTAATTTATATGTAACATGGATGAAAACTTGATGAAATAATACTACATGAACAATCTAAAAAATAGAGACAACTGCATGGAGTGGCTCGGTGCCATCCCTCGGCAAGATGACATGAACTCGGTAGTGTCGAAGAAATACTGTCACCTGGCCTCAACATGGTGAACTCAACAATTCCTTACATAAGAGAGAGAAAGTCCAAAATTCAGATATGTATGTTAGGTGCTACTTGTGCACCTTTTTGCACACCTTTCAGTCCCATTTTATGCATATAATTAGCACAATTGTTCTTCATTTTCCTTGCATTTTACCATATTCATTTTAGTCTTTAGAACAACCTTATTTGCACACTTTTATATCTTTTTCAGGTAAACCGGAGGTTGGAACGCGCTTTGGGAAGTGTCGGGAAGCATTGGTGGAGATTTCGGGACGATCGGGCGAAGAACGAAAAAAAGTTTGGATTTGGAGTCAGAGAGGTACACGGGGCGTGTTGAATTTACACTGAAAAGTGGGCACGGGGCGTGTTTGACCAAAATGGGAGCTGTTGACCATACTGAA